AATTATATTACCTTTAATCAATTCAGAAAATTATCTTTTAACAACATTTCAGGATGTGTCACTGCTATTTTGTACACTAGACACAAAATAAAGTTAATGGTGGCCTTTTCAGTTTATGAAATGGAAAGCCTTGTGTATTTGGCTTTTAAAGCTGGGTGACCTTCTATCTATTTATAACTGAAATCAAGATTCTTCTGAATGGCCTTGAAATATATGGTAGGGAGGTAAGGGGAGTTAAGAATGAGATTTTGGGAAATTAACAGTGATATGGGTAGCACTTTATTAATGCAGACATTTGTTCATCATCAACTTTTTTCATATTTGATTTTGGTCATTGAACAGCAATCTTGTAGGAGTAGCTTATGCCCACTGCTCATGTGGTCTGAATCTAAAGTGTTATTCTTTAGGTTACAGGCTAATATTACAATTGGCACAAGTATGAGCTATCTAACATCCTACATTACTAATAAAGCAAGCTTAGTCTAGCTGGTGGCAGAACATTGCTCATCTTGAAAAATTAACCAGGCTGGACCTGATTACTCCTTGGATGGAAAATTCAGGTCTTTAAGTGACACTAGAAAGCTAAAAAACCTTAGGGTACATGCAGTGCAAAGCTATATAGTCCCTGAGAAAACTAAATGGGAAGGAGGATGTGAAATCACTAAAGTCAAGCTCAATTTGAAGGTTTTACCTTCACCTTAAACCAGGAATGGGCAAGTATGGTGCCACAGTGCTTAGAATGCAGTATTGCAGGTTAATGCTGCCTGCAGAATTGCCAGCAGTTTGATCCTGACTGGCTTAAGGTTGACTCCGCTTTCCATCCTTCCAAGGTCAGCAATTTGTTGGGGGCAAGATACTGACATTGTAAACCACTTAAAGAGGGCTATAAAGCACAATCAAGTGGTATATAAATCCAAGTGCTATTGCTATTGCTTAACAACCTGTCGACCTCAACTTCTACAATTCCTGAGCCAGCATGCCCACCCCTGCCTTAGAGCAAATCATAATCTTCTAAATGTTTTCAGGACATACACAATCATATAAATTATGTCCTGAAAATGCCAGTTGTATTGCTTCATAATTCTACCACTTGAAGAAAAGAATGATATAACCCAATACCCTTGAATATTTCTATTCAGGTTGTAGTTGCAAATAGTCAAAGTGAACTAAGTAAAAATCTCTACTGCCATTGCCATAGAGCATGGAAAGCACTAAAGAAGTAGCAAAGTGAGAGAATACCTTAGGTTATTTTATGTGTTCAGCCATGGTTTGATTAACTCTAGCTTATTAAATAAGCCATACAAAACACACTATCAATACCAAACAAACCACACTGTGACTGAATGCAATCTGCAAACCTAGTCAACCAAGAAAACCATTTATATCTTGTTTGCATGTGATATATAAACTAAAAATATTCTCTATTGAGTTTAATATTATTTTTTCATGTGGAGACTAAATTAATATTTAATCAGTGGCTATTTGGCCATTGATCAACCAGATTTACATTTTTTTCCTGCAGAGAAATTATAGAATTTATTCACATTTCTTGTCACTAAAAATGCTTCCTAAAGTTACTGTTCTTATTTTCTTCCTCTCTGCCTCTTTTGAAATAACCAAATGCAGACGAGGCAATCAAAATGTGTTGATGACACAAAGTGCATGAGAATTATGGACTGTGAATGTCGTTCATGAGCATTTTTTTAAAATTTACATTTTTATTCATTTCTTAGCAGATGGTAGCAAGTCATCTGCAACTATGAGTATCTCTTCAAAAGGAGGAAAGTAAACCCTTCCCTGCTAGCAGCGGACTGCCTTTGGGGAAGGAAGACTCTGCTCTTTATATATATACTGCTCCCTCCCAAATTTGGGGCATACCAGGTGCCTTGACAAAACAGCTGATAAGGGAGGAGAGCTTGTGGCATAGAGGTTAAGGGCCTAACATGTAAAATAGCCCATGTTCAAATCCCAGTCACACACACACACACACACACACACACACAGAGAGAGAGAGAGAAACACATCAGAGGTGGGC